GGCCACGATACGATCGATACGAGGGAGCTTACGAAGTCGTATTTTACTATAAAAAAAACCAAGTTGATCTCATGGAGTTGAAACCGTATGAAACAGAAGTGACTGTGATTGTAGCTCAAAAATTATCTGTCAAAAACGAGTTGTTTAGTTAGAAAAAGTGTTGATGCGAAATTAAATAAAATAAAAATCATTTAATTCAGACTATTATAAGTCCATTATAGTAAAAGTAAAAAAAAATAATTTGTCAAAAAAGGCAGTTAATGTTACAAAAAAAACGCTTGCGTAAATGAACACCATGTAATCCAAACGCTTCCTTCTTCTGTTCGTTACCAAACCAATGCCACAAGAAATATTCATTACTTTCTTTGTTTTCTGCGATTGCAATTAGATTGATTTATATGAAAACATACCTGACACATCTTTACATTCAATCGTAACACCGTTATTGATTTAAACGCTATCTATGGTTAGCTCGGCGAACGCGTCTTGCCAGAGATAGTGCCGATACTGGAACGCGGCCTGCGCTCGGAGCGTGCGGATCAGCGGCAGGGAGTCTGCATCGGACTCGGAGAAATTCTCGCCTCCACGTCGCGAGATGCCGTACTCAGCTTCGCCGACGGACTGGTCAGTATTACGCGAGGAAGTAGTATCTTTGTTTCTTTTAAATACGAGAGTGACGTGACTTCACGGGACGTGCGGTCAGGTGCCGACCGTGCGCACGGCTTTGTGCGACGAGCTGGGCGAGGTGCGCATGGCTGCGGCGCGAACCTTCGACGCGCTGCACGCGACCATCGGCAACAAGGCGCTAGACGACATCCTGCCCCCCATGCTGGACGCGCTGCACCATCCCGATCCCGCCGTCGCCGACGCCACGCTCGACGGCCTGCGCCAGATAATGGCGATAAAGTCGCGCGCCGTGCTGCCCTACCTCGTACCCGTCCTGACGGGCGGCAGCGGCGGCGCGGCCGACACCCGAGCGCTATCCGCGCTCGCGGTCGCCGCCGGCAATGCGCTGGCCCGTCACCTGCCGCGCATCCTGCCCGCGCTGCTCACGACGCTTCGCGCCGCGCGGGGAACCGCCAACGAGGGCCGCGAACTCGACCAGTGTCGCGACGCCCTGCTGCCCGTCACCGACGACGCCGGTGTCAGATGGTGAGTTCCTCGTCCGTCGCGTCGAAAGTCGGCGGTCGCGTCGGACGCGTCTAACGCGATGCATACGTTTCTCCCCTCAGCATAATCGACTCGCTGCTGGAGTGCTCCCGAGCGGAGGAGGACGATCGGCGTCGGGCTGGCGCGGCGCTGCTGTGCGCCTTCGTCACGCACTCGCGGGCGGAGCTCAACCCGTACGTGGGCGCACTGTTGCGCGGCCTGCTGCTGCTGTTCGCGGAGCGGGACAGCGAGCTGCTCCAGATGGCCTGGGAGGCGCTGTTCGCTCTGACGCGTACGCTGGACTCGGAGCGGCTGCTAGCCCACGTGTCCGACGTGCGGCAGGCCGTGCGCTTCGCCGCGGCCGACCTCAAACCGGGAGAGTTGCTGCCGGGTTTCTCTCTTCCCAAGGTCCACTCTTTATTCGTATCGCCAAATGATATTTACTTGTATTTCTAAATGTTTCTCTCCCGTATGTTCAAATTCATCACTCATTATATTTATATTCAAAAAAGCTCAAAATCAAGAGTATACTTAACACTTTACTTGAAATTAACGTTACTTAATGTTTTTCTACTTAAAGTTCTCAAGCTTTAGCCCTTCATTTAGTGAAATTTAGTAATTTGATCAGGGTATTGCTCCAGTCCTGCCTCTGTTCCGTGAGGCCATTCTGCACGGCCTCCCCGAGGACAAGGAAAACGCCACGCTAATGTTGGGCGAATTGATCAAGCTGACGCCGGCGCCTTCTCTGCAAGCCTCCGTGCCCCACATCACCGGCCCGCTCATCAGAATTCTCGGCGACCGCTTCAACGCCAGCGTCAAGGCCGCGGTGCTCGAGACCCTGGCCTTGCTCCTGTCTAAAGTAAATCCACTCTATGTTTCAAACTCACGTTGGTTATTTTCGATATACCGGAGGACGATTGCTCCGAGTAAATTTTGGCTTAAAGCGAAATCTCGTTTCACAGGTGGGCCTCATGCTGAAGCAGTTCCTGCCGCAGCTGCAAACGACATTCCTGAAGTCGCTGAGCGACCCCAATCGGTCGGTGCGCATCAAGGCGGGCGCCGCGCTCTCGCAGCTGGTGGTGATCCATACGCGCGCGGACCCGCTCTTCGTGGAGATGCACAACGGCATCAAGAACGCCGACGACCCCGCCGTGCGTGAGACGACGCTGCAGGCGCTGCGCGGCATCATCACGGCCGGCGGCGACAAGATGAGCGAGCAGCTCGCGCTCGCCGTGCTGCAGACTCTGACCGGGCCGGCGCTGCTGGCCCACCCCGACGATCCGCCGCGAAGCGCGGTCGGCGGCTGCCTGGGCGCCCTTCTGCACTGTCTGCCGCCCGCCCACCGCGACGCGGCCCTTCAGCACCACATCCTGGCCGCCTCCGACGACTGGCTGCTGCAGCACGGCCGCTCGTGCGCGCTCTTCGTAGCGCTCAAGGAGACGCCGCACCACGTGTATCGGGATCACTTTGAGGAGAAGGTCGAGAAGGCGCTGCTGCAGCAGCTGACCAGCGACAAGACACCCGTCGCTTGCAACGCCCTGCGCGGTATCTGCTACCTCGCGAGACACCTGCTGGACGAAGGCCGACCCGTTCCGCCGTCTATCCTCTCGCAGTTCGTCAGGGTGAGCTCGAGTCGATCTCCGCGACCCGGGAACCACACGCGAGACAGTTTAACGTGACGGGTCGTTCGGTCCACAGAGCATGAACCACGGCAGCAACGACGTGAAGCAACTGATGGCACGGGCCAGCGCGGCGCTGGGGCGGGGCGGGGTGGCGGCCGAGGGGCCAGGGGCGGAGCTGCTGAGGGCGCTGTTGCCCGCACTCGTCAACGGCACTAAGGAGAAGAACACATACGTCAGAGCGAACTCGGAGCTCGCGCTCAGGGCGCTACTTCGGCTGTCGCAAGACGAGGACCACTGCGAGGTACTTAGTTGTACATGCATTTAATGTTAGAAAAGTGTCTGGGTTGTACGCTTGTTTTACATATTATATAGCCAAGTCCTCCTCAGTCGCGTGTGTCTGTTCGCGACTAACGCTAAACTTACTGCACAGATTTCTACCGATACAACCACCTGATACGGAAGGTTTATAATTTATAAAGGTTTTTTGTAAATCATTTGGAATATAACAATAATTGTTGGAAGTTTAAGAACAAGTCAAGCCATCTGGGATACGTACAAAGCCAGTGCGGACACAAGTTTATAAACAATATATATATGATTAAGTTTACTGTAAAAAACTTAAACATCTTAAGTATGCTTTTATGTGACAAAAGTTTTTTACACTATTTTTTTTGTATACACACTTACGTTTTTACTTTTCTCCTATTTAAATGTTTCTTTCTCATTTGAGTTCATATAACCATCCTGTTTTTTCAAAAGTATTAAAATGCTGTTCACATTATTATTATTATTATTAAGCTTTATTTAATCCATACAACAATTGGTTAGTTTATATTCCTTAATATTAGTATTAGTTAAGTTAGTAAGTTTTAAACAAAATTTAAGTTAGATTTATTTTTAATTTTTTATGTCTAGTTTTTGTATGGCCCCTTTTAGGGTAAAAGCCTCCTCCATATTTTTCAATTTCTCTTTGTTTTGAGCAACGTTCATCCAGTTTTCCCCCTCAAGTTCTACAATGTCATCTGTCCATCTTTTCCTTTGTCGTCCTAAACATCTCTTTCCAGTAGGTCCGGTCCATTTCGTTATTTCTAGTGTCCATCTTTTATCCCACGCTCTAGCAATATGACCTGCCCATTTCCATTTTAGCCTTAGAGCTTGTTCAAGTGCATCTGTAAGTTTGTTTTTTTTTACGGATTTCAACATTTTTTATTTTGTTTATTCTCCTCAACTTTAGGATGCTTCTTTCCATTGCATGCTGGCAAAACAGGATTTTTCTAGTTGTTTTCTTGCTGAAAATCCACGTTAGACTTGCGTATGTAAGACAAGGTAAAATATTTGAATCCATCATTATCTTCTTGTGTTGTAGACTGTAGTTTCCTTTCAGAATTTCCTTGTGGGTCCAGTATTTCTTCCAAGTCACGTTTATTCTTCTATCTACTTCGTTTTCACTGCTGTTCTTATCGAAAGATACTTGTTTTCCTAAATATACATAGTTGTTAACATATTCTATAGGTTTACTGTCGACTCTGATTGGCTGGCACACACTGTTGGATAAGATTCTTGTTTTTGTGGTATTCATGTAAAGCCCGACTTTTTGACTTTCCCTGTCTAATGTTTGAAGCATTTTTTCTAATTTTGTAGCGGTGTCACTGAATTTTGTTGCGGTGTCACTGAAGACGTTCTCATATCAACATATTAAATATTTCATGTTGAACTTATGAATATTGTTAATTTTAAATTTATTGTTTGGTGTAGAAATGCATGTCGCTCCTGGAGGAAGGCGGTAGAGAGGCCTTGGCAGATGTCGTGGTGCGCGTGCTGCGGCGCGCAGTCACAGAGGGAAGAGAGGAAGACCTTGACTGCACACTGATTACCTGAACACTGTCCTTACATTATCTCCATACATGTGTTTATATACTCGCATGTTTTTTATTTACCAAATTCCAGTGTCAACACAATGAAAACTTTGAGACCTAATAGTATATGTGACTGGAGCTAAAATTTTATTAACACAATTACTTTTTGAGATGAAATTCATTATATTCAATAATTTGTTCATCATCATAAAATGTGTTATCAATGAATAATAATAGTAAGTAGTGTAACTATTGCAGGGCTCAATATAAATAATTATTTATTATAAAAAAAAATTAATTGCTTTATGAATATATTTCATATTGGATACAATCTTACTTTAACTATGGAATGTAACAATTTAAAAAACATTTTTTAAAATTCCTCTTTTTTAGGGATCATATGAAAACCCTTATTCTCTAATAGTTTATTACACTCTTGACGATTTAAGTTAGAAAGAGGAAGTCGCTCCAGCTCCATATCATCATCTCCAAGCAACACTAACTCTGGTGGTGTTCCACTAATAAACTTTACTTGAAGACGGTCATATAAAGGTGCATCTTGCATTACAAAGTTCTTAACTTCTGGCAGACGATTCAAAGAACAGCCTCTGCATGTCTAAAAAATCATGGAGATTATTACTAATAGTATAAGTAATAAAGAGGGTTATTAGGTTGAGTCCTCACCTCAATTTTGGCTGATTTGATATCGGAGAGCATATAAGCAGAGCTAATGGTTATGAAACCTATACAAAATAAAACTCTTAGAAAACTCATGACTACTATTTAAAAAAAACACGAATAAGGACTTAAGTCTTAGAGAACACAATAATAGGTGATCACTATGAATTAACGAGTTTGTAACCGCCCACAAATCACAATTACCATCTATCAAGTTCAAGTCACTAGACACTAGACAGTACTTCAAAATTGTGAATTGTGATGGTTTTTTTTTTCTCTTTATGGCTCTGGCAAGGTTTGTGCATTAGCCAGTGTGATGCAGCTATTTATTTCCCAATGTTACTAGATAATTTTGGCATCTCGTAGTATTTAAGTAAATCAATAAATGTTAGGAATTTTATTATGATCGTACTCTATGGTACACAGATCAAATAAACCCGAACACCGCCCATAGATGATTAAATCAGATTAGATCAGCAGGTGCGTTTTCCAATTACAGCACTAGAGCGCATTTTGCGGCATAATGCTCAACGTCGAGTGTTCCAACTACAGCAACGCTTCGCACAATTGAGCACTCTCAAAACGAATGCTCTCGCGTGCTTCTCGCAAACAATACCAACACAGTGACAGAAAATTGACTAGTATTTTTCTTTAAGTTGGCATTTATCGAAATTTTCGTTAGTAAATATTATTTATTGTTGAAAAATTTGTAAGGCTTTCGTTTCGTCGTAGATTTTGAAAATAATTAAAGTTATTTCAAACTGCTAAAAAAAAAAAAATATTAGTATGGATGATACATATGTAGTTACTTTTTTTATATTCCACATTTAAAATATGAATACAATTTTATTTTAAAATTCGGATCTGTAAACAAATTTATTTTACAGGATTATACTTTAGAAAAAATTGCAATGGTTTTGAAAAAGTATATAATTTTTTTAGAAATCATTAAAAAATATTACTCAAAACGTAAATGATGTAAACTTCTTACATGAAACTAAATATTTTACTGTTAATTTAGCTTGTTAAAACCTTATATTCTTTAAAGGTTTTCTATTATTTCAATAAAAAAAATGTTAATGAAATAATTTGATGATTAAAGTAAGCGTAAAAAGTTTTCAACCAATTATTATTGTTTACCACATTATTTATACATCAATGAGGTTGCTAACTCAATTCATAACATTTTTTTTACAACACTGACTTAGCGCACTCTGCTGATGCATTTGAAAACTAATTCACGTTCCAATTAAGCTTCAGCATTATGCGGCATTGTGCGGCACTGAGTCGAAAAATGCTCTGTAATTGGAAAACGCACTAATTCACATTCCAATTAAGCTTCAGAATTATGCGGCATTGTGCGGCACTGAGTCGCATAATGCTCTGTAATTGGAAAACGCACCAGATCATCAAGTAGTATGCTACTAAGTACTAATATATTTTAATCTGTAGAGTATTCAGTATAGTATCAGGTTCACAACCGTACGATAATTATCGTACATTTGCGATAATTTCATAACTACGTACGATGTACGATGGTACATGACTATCGTACGCAGATTGTACGATAATTTCCAGTCTGATAAAAAATTTGATGATTACACAGATAGCCCAATAACAATTACAGTTTTTAGTGTCAGTGCCATCTATTGGCTTATTTTTCTATTAGGAACTTATGCAAGGCAACTACAGCAGATGAACAAAGCGTTAATGTACAAACACAAAAACGCATCAGAATGCACAGCCAAAAAATTCACGATTTGTATGGTGACGCAGATTTGGAAGTCTTCGATAACATTTTAATACCTAACGAATTTTAAGTGATAAAAATAATATGCGATGTAAAATGAACGAGAAAAAAACGTATTTTTGTTCCTCTTTGACGGAAGAGATTGAATTTTTTTTTTTTCAATTTGAAAAACGCAAGTTTACAAGATTTAAACTATAAATCGTTTGCAACATTTTATTTTCACGTTTCATATGATTTTTTAAAGTATTTTTAGCAATTTTCCTGACTGTACGATAATTTATCGTATATGGATCACATATACGATAATTTTACGGCCCTGGTACGATAACTGCCTGGCTTCAGGTTGTGAACACTGTATAGTATCAACTTCACACTTCCTTGATTGTTGATCACTTGATCAGTGCACCAATGCTATTTATTATAATTTCATAAAAACATTATTAAGTGTTTATATTTTAAACTCTTGGTTTAAATTTGAATAAGGTGGTCGTTTTAAAAAAATTCGGTACTTGATACTTTAATTTACTTGCCACATTGATGTCAGTAAGAGTGGTGATTAATCGAACGTGAACTGAACCTTCGCTTGGCTAAATGTTTATGCTAAAATGCAAGACGAACACAGGAGAGCTATACAAAACAACTTTGCTTCCCTTGTCGAACAGACTGATTTAGATCACATGGTTTCGACTCTGTATGAAAAAGGAGTATTTTCGGAACAAATGATCGAGCCCTACAAAGTTAGTGGATTCATTATTTACAAGAAAATATAATAAAAATTTAAAATAATCTTTATAAACTTGTCGTAGGACTTAACTAAGGACGCAAGATCACGCAAACGTTTACTGTATAGGGATATAACAAGGCGAGGTCCTGATGCATTTAGGAATTTATTGGATGCTCTCTCAGATGCTGGTTATTGGGATTTAGTTCGGGATCTTGATCCCAATAGCTCTTTACATACAAGAAGAACCAAAATATCAGCACCAAGCACAAGTAACTAATATATTTAAATTTCTTTTTGTTGACACTTTTGTTTTCATACTGAATTTTTGTATTAATGAAATTTTTATTTTAGGTATGGCTAATGAAAATGACTATGTTAGTATAAGTACTGAAAAGAAAAAGACCAAACCACGAGTTGATGTAAATAAAAGTTGGTAATTAGTCTTTTAAATGTATTTTTTAAAGTTCAATTTGACAAAATAATTAATGTTTATTTTTAGATGATTCTACACCTATCGCTAAAGATACAACAGATCTTAATATGGTACCTCAGTACAATGTGATTAAGTCAAGCAAATTCTTTGAAGATGGTGAAGGTAAATGTGTAAAGCATATTTAACACACATTATTATAGATTCATATATTATATGTATAATACTTATTTTATGATTTCTTTTCTGACATCCACTTGGTGAACCACAACTTAATATTGTATTGTTACTTTTTTAAATAGTTGATATTTCTGTGAAATGTACAATGTATATGTATTGGTCATGATAAGAATTTGATTATTTAGCTAATTATAGGGATAGTAAAACTAGTGCTATTATTATAGAACTAGAGTGTATTATTGGTTACTGTAGTATATTTTTTTTAAATTTTAAGTTAATTTTTCATTAAATTGCATTAATACACAATGGAAATTTTCTGCACAAGCCCAAGCCTATTTTTGATGATAAATTTGTAGAACATTTTATTTTGCATTATCACACATTTGCACATTACCTATAAAAATAGTGTTTATTGGTGACATTTCACATTGCAGATATAAAGTTATACAACACCCGAGGACATAAGAGAGGAATTATTGTAGTGTTTAGTTACATTGAATTTGTTAACAACATTGAGACATACCGAAAAGGAGTGGATGTTGATTGTCAGAAACTAAAATACTTATTTAGTGAAATGGGCTTTCGAGTAATATCATATGAGAATTTGACCAGAGATGTGTGTATGATTTGTTATAGGAATATATATTTAAATATTTTGTTAGAAATTTCCTTCATTACATAGTCATAAGAAGCATGACATAACACATTTTCTTTTATTTTTTACAGGAGACGGTTACAACATTAGAGAATCTAAAAAAAGTAATAGTTGGTGTAGAATGTGTATTCATAGTAGTCTCTTCTCATGGATATGAGCGGAAGTATAGCTCAGATACAGACATTCGCTGTAAAGATGGACAACTCATTACCATTTATGAGATTATTGATTATTTTAATAATAAGAACTTTCCTGCATTGCATGGAATCCCAAAGGTTTTTATCTTTCAGCTATGCAGGTAAGTTTACTAACACTAAACACCATTTGGTGAATTTTTTTTACATTTACAAATGTTTAATATACAATAATAAATATATTTAACTTTATAATTGAATAATGTCAATGGATATGATAAAATATTTGAATAATAATATAATAATGAGGTTGCATTTTTAAGGGGTTCGAATGTGGAATACATTGATGGCCCAATTAGGTTTGTATCACCAGACGATCCAAGCCCTCCAGCCGAGCGCGACGGAAATCCCATGACTGATACTGGTCGCTTCTCCCAAGACACACCTCGCACCCCTCTCAACAAGCGAAATAGACTTTTCTCTGATATTCTAATCGCGCATTCAACACTGCCAGGTATTATTTTTATCTATGGTATTTTTTTTCAACTATATATATTGTAAAAGTATGTCACATTAAAAGTATTGGCATATTGTAGGTAATGTTTCATACAGGGATCCAGAGGAAGGATCATGGTATATTCAGACATTGTGCGAGGTGTTTGCGGCTCGGGCCCATGACTGCCACGTAGATAAGCTATTCACACTCGTCGACCAACACCTACATGAACGATTTCACATACAGACCTCGTCTGTTGACAAATGGGGTTTCAACAAGAGACTCTACCTACATCCTGGTCTCTATCAGGACTGAATATTTGACTGAGTATTTGAATATTATCTGGAGTCTTTAAGTTTAAGTTATTCTTGTATTACAACTTTTATATTAGTTTAACATTGTGTTTTAATGATTTTCTTCTACTGAAAAGGCAGATGTGATATTGCATTTTATACAAGATTATTCTAGTAAATTGATTTTATGTATTGATAAAATCCACAATTAAATGTAGTAATATTCGGAAACTCGTTTCAATGTTCTATTATTATATCTCCCTTTCAACTCCCTAAACACGGTACTGTGTTGTGTGTGTGTGTGGAGGGAAAATGTAATAAGAACCTGTTGGCAATCACAATCGAACAGCCCCCACATATTCCTCTTCTAGCGACTTCGCTTTGCCATAATAAAATCATTCTACTCACGCACTTTCCAGTCGAAGAGAAGAATTATCTGTCAAACTCAAAATACCTTTTTATTTTGTTGAGATTGTGTTGTCGACAGCATCCCTTCAATTAATATATTTCATTTTTTATTAGTAATTTCAGCTTATGCGCTATATATATTATGCCACAACACTGGCAATAAAAACTGGTCATACCTATTTTTAATGTGTGTTCGTCCGATGACTGTTCTACAGTTGCCGTTTTTCTACACAATTTTTAACTGGGGCTATACAGGGTGGCCAAAAAGTCGTGGATCAAACGCAAATAGGGGATAGATGAGGTCATCAGCGGCAAAAAATTGTTCTACGGGAGGTCTCTAAGGTCAACCCCTGCAGAGTTATGATTTATTTTGGTTTTTATATGAAAATTGACTTTTTTTACTAATTCTTATTAAAATTCGAAAAAATCTACATCCTGTATCTTTTTCATAATATCCACTAGATTGGTACTGATGAGTTCTTGCGTTAGACATACTATTTATAGTTGTTTATTGAGTGTATTGAAGATAATATTAAGTTATACGATATAAATTGTTTTCAAATCAAAACTTTTTGTTTATTTCGGACCCCACTGTGAAAAAAAATTACTCTACCGAAAAGTGACCCTATATTACAAGTTTTGGCGCATTTAATATGGATTCTGAAAAGGTATTACACATGGCCATAAGTCGCTCTAATATCTTTCTAGGAGGAAAAAACAACAACGATTCGGACTTATGATAGATTATTTACCTACCTGTGACCAGTACTGTGTGAATCGGACTAGATTCAAAGAATTGGACAGATGGCTGGAGGGTTACTTAGGAATTTGTTTAGACGGTACAGATTAAGTATTATGGTCAGAGTCAGGAATTTTGAGCATATTTTATTGTAAAATATTTTGTTTCCTACAAACAACCATTGAGAAATAATTGTTTTAATACAATTATTATTTCACAATCGTTGTTTGTAATTCTTCCTAGAAAGATATAAGAGCGACTCATGACCACGTGTAATACCTTTTCAGAATCCCTATTAAATGCGCCAAAACTTGTAGTACACTTTTCGGTGGAGTAATTTTTTTTCACAGTGGGGTCCAAAGTAAAGAAAAATTTATGATTTGAAAAAATGTTATATCGTATCACTTAATATTATCTTGAATACACTCAATAAACAACTATAAATAGTATGTCTAACGCAAGAACTCATCAGTACCAATCTAGTGGATATTATGAGAAAGATACAGGACGTAGATATTTTCGAATTTTAAGAAGAATTAGTAAAAAAAAGTCAATTTTCATATAAAAACCAAAATAAATCATAACTCTGCAGGGGTTGACCTTAGAGACCTCCCGTAGAACTATTTTTTGCCGCTGATGACCTCATCTATCCCCTATTTGCGTTTGATCCACGACTTTTTGGCCACCCTGTATATATCACCATCTTAACTTGGGTAACATAATTAAATTTTATTTTCATTTGAAAATGAAAGTAATTTATGGCCTAAAGATATCTGTTTGTCTGATTTACGGACATTTTTATTTATCGCGGCAAGATTAAGATCGCTATTATGACTAACATATGCTTGTATTAGTTTTTTTTAAACCGAAGAAGTATGAAGGACTTGAGGGCGAATATTTTTATTCACACACACATCCGCGCTATTGAAATGCCGTATGTAGCGACAAGACATGCCAGCATGAGTTTGATTATGTGTTATGCTAGCTAGACTTCACGCTAACCTATAAAATTGTTGACCGCGCTTTGTGCACTATTCTAAGCACGATTATTTGACGATTTTCATTTCACCCTCATCAAGCAATCGCCTCCTTCAAAATCCATCAATAAATTATTAGAAGACAATTGAGATATTACATTTTTAAAAGCCATTAATCCCTAAAGCTATTTTTAATGCTCTATTTGAATTGAATTTACAATTTAAGTGGCAAGTCGGCTGGTGCCATTGTTGGTTGTAGTTTTTGTGTTCCAAGACGACAGTTAAATTATCAGGTAAGTAGTAAAAATCATTAGAATTACTAAAAAAATAAGTAATTGTCAGCAAATTGATAGTGAGATATTGATTTTATCTCACTCAAAACAATTTTTTTTTACGTACAGTTGCAGACGTAATCGCTTTTTTTTAGCACGCATCTCATTTATATACGGTTATATAACAAAAAGCAATATACAATTAAAATCGTATTCAGTTTTATTTTGTAAGTTGAAATTAGACATTAAAATACTGAAAAAGAAATATTTTATCGGTCGGACATGGATGTTGTGAAAATATTAAGTTTGCTATAGTTGAGACGTTCTTGGAAGCAGTACCCCTTTTCACTAACCTTCATGAAAGTATCTTTACATTGTTTCCTCGATTTGTTCTCGCTCTCTAGGTTGTCTTTTATAAATTCTGCATATTTATTTATATTCTCTAACCACCTTTGTATAGGATTAATAAAGGAACTTTGATACAGCCAATTCAAAACAGATGTTTTAGACCACCACGTTTGAAATGTTTTAAAATCGTATGCAACAACACCCCAATACCAATTCTTCTTGGTTTCCCTTTTATCATCAAGATACTTTTGCCAGTTCACACAACACTTTATAAATTGTGAGTCAACATTTTCCTCAACAATAATTTCAGCAATTTGTGCTAAAGTAGTATTAAAAAGTTCCGGTTGTAAATACATGTCGGTAGAAGATATTGAGTGGGACGAAATATCGGTTGCAATGCTTCCTCTGGCCACGACAGATTCTAGAGTTGGAAGCCAAACATTTGATACAACCAAAGTTGAAGTGACTAAAGTTATAAAACTGCTCAAATAACTAAAGGTAAGAGTAAAGCAGGCACAGCCGACTGACTTCATCAGCTCACTCATCAAAGTTTTGTTGCATGTAACTGCAAGATCAGTATATGTAAAAAACCCTCTCATCAAAGCCTGCTTCATTGCCACTTGTCTCTCGAGCCATAAAAGTCCACTTTCAAATGTTTTTTCATTAATGTATAAATTCCATTCCTGAAAAGTTCATTTTATTTAAATTACAAGTCTGATAAAGGTCAGTTAAGTTCCAACACTGTCTTTGGAACAGCTAGATATATATTTAATGATCATGATTTATTGGATTGGAAAATTATACTATTGTTTGGGTTTTATCCCAATTAATGTAATATTACAAAAACAATCAGAAAAGGATTAGCCAAGTAACAAATACTGCTGCTATCTATTTTTTTTACTGTAGGGATTATAAATACATTTGTTTAGATAGAAGTACATTAAAAGAGTACTTACAATAGCATTCAGAAAGTCTGCCTCAAGTTTGTTCAGTTGATGAAGGTCAAGCCCTCCTGAGGCAGCCCATTCTGAACATATCACTTCATCATCTTCACCATCGTCTTGGAGAAACTTGTTACTAACCATCTACAATACATTTTTTGTACTAAATTTTATTCATTTATGAAGTGTTGACTAAATAATAATAATAATATGTTTAAATTACCAAAGAGACTAGAAAGAGATCAGCTGGAGAAGTTGCAGTTAAGTAGTCAGGATTACAAAGTTTAAGTCGCTCTAAATACAGGATTGCAAGAACAAGTGCACACGGTGAAACACAGGCAGAACGAGCAATGCTTGCTGCCTGGTCTGCGTGCAGCCGCCGAACAGAGTGTCCTCTTTGTGCCATTGACCACACCTCACATGATATTTCTGCACAAGAATAGGTCTTAGGGTAAGTTGCGAAATAGATGCAAAAAGTTAAACACAATAAAATTTTATGTATACATAATCCACATCAAGGATTGTTTTTATCCATTTTTGTTTTTTTATTTTTACATTTTTTTCCACAATTAAACTTATATGAAATGTATTCTTTGTTTTGTTTCTCATTTCTCAACCATTCAATCACAATGTGCCACAGCGAAGCATGGCAGGGAACAGCCAGTTTACTAAATTTCTAAGATATTTATTATATAAACATTAAAAAACCTGTGACTGGAAGGCTCAAGCTGGATAGAGTGGGTAACTGCCCATAGTATAAGGTCTTAGATATCCTTTTCAAAAATTCCTGGTGGTCTCCCATGCTCTACAAAAAATTTTTTTTACATTTATTGAATCAAGTAACATATTTGTATATTATATAAAGAGTAATTTGTAATGTCTATTGTCTTAACATTTAACATGAGTAAGTCAAGGTTTTAGGTTCTATTCTGGTACTTGATACCATAATAATTTTGCTTTGGGTTAATAACTATATAAGGGTTACCACATACTAGCCTAAAAATTTTAATGAAACAGATGCAGATTTTACCCTAGAGCCCTATTGGAGGGATAATGGTGCTTCCAACACTAGACCAATTCTGTGTGTAGAAATGGGACAAAAATATTTCGTATTGTGATTGACGTTACAATCTTTACTTACATCGTACATATATACTACGTCATTACAATTAAAATTTTTCCTTTATTAAAAGTAACTTAGGAAATACTTGTAACGTTAGTTACATGAAAACCTAGTAACTCTAACCATAAAGTTTCATTTTATTAATAACGATAAAATTATAAACGTGAAAAATTCTAGCTATATATACTAATTATTTCATATAAATACCGCGAACAGGCCACGACATACATTAATGACCTTATTATCTTACCTTTATATTGCCTCTTGACCCTTCTTTTCTTCTTTTAGATATACTAGACATTGTAAAGGTTACAATTCTCTTCTATCATTTAAATACGTAAATAAAAATAGTTAATTGAAATTTGAAACTCAACTTGCAAATTTAATTTTAAGGCAATCCGCAGGGCGCAGGCAGTAGGCGCTGGCAGCTATTACTACAGAGTTGAGTAGAGAAAAGAGTATATTATAAACTATAATTTATACTCTAGTATGTTTATTACTTAATTTGTGTTTTTTTTTTTCTTTTTTTTTCCTTTATGGCTCTGGCACGGTTTGTGCATTAGCCAGCGTCAAGTAGGTATAGGATTTTTATAAGTCGCTGTTTTAATTATTTACAGTTTATGAATAATAAAAAACGAAGGAAACTAATCGCGACATAACATAGATGATTGAAAACGCATTAAATTTACAACAAAATCAGAATAGTTACATAAGGGGAAAAATAAATCAAAATTATAGTTTAATGTTATTATTTACAATAAATATACTTATAATACTATATACAAGGGGATTTAAATCTCGAAGAAGTAAAGAAATATTGGTAGGAAGGGGAACAGAGAGAGATACTAAAGAAGTGTATAAAGAAGCATGGTCATATTTAGGACAAGAAAAGAAAACATGATTCAGGTCAGAATAGCTCTCGCCACACTCACAGGCGGTACTAGTTACGATACCAAGTTTGTGCAAATGAACTGGAAGGCTGTTATGTCCCAGACGCATACGGATTATAGTAGAAGTGGTGGTTTTACCAAGCGACAATTTGGCAAACCATGGCTTCCTGGGAACGGAAGACTGTATAGCATACAAGAAACGACCCTTAATCCGGCCTTTCTCTTCCCAACACATATTCCACGATTTGTGGAGATATATGCCGGGCAAAGCAGCAAGATCATGGCCAAAATTCCTGTACGGGTGTACGTCACCGGTCTCAGTAGCACTGTTAGCCAAACTGTCAGCTTTTACATTTCCAGAGATACCACAGTGACTAGGTATCCAACAGAATGAAACTAAATAGTTGTGTAATTGGCAGTGCAACAGCTTTCTCTTACATTCAAATATTACATGAAAAAATGGGTTAAGTTTTAGTGAAAATTTTGCTAAGCTCTGTAAAGCACTTAAGGAATCGGTAAATATAACGGTTTTTTTGAGTTTGAAACATAACACATATTCAAGAGCTTTTAGTAGTCCAAAACATTCACCGGTAAAGACCGATGATTCCGGAGGTAATTTAATTTTCTGAACTATGTTGTATTGTTTGTGAAACACTCCAACACCAACACACCCATTGGAGTGTTTAGATGAATCTGTATACATTTGATGCCAGTTAGGCCATTTGCTATTGACATTGCAATTAAAAATTGCATTGGCATTAAAATCTGATTTTTCAATGCCAAGAGAAAAGCAAATCTCTGGAGAAAGAAGAAGAGAATCATAAGAAGAGCTAAATAGGGGAAGTACATTAAAGGAATGAGTTGGGGCTTGTAATTGTTTGAATTTCAGGAAGCTTTTTAATAGACAAGGTAAAGGTTTATGTGAAGAGGGTAATTTTAGAGAAAGAGACTCCAGTTTGGAGATGAGGGGATGATGGAACTGGACAATTCTAAAAATGAATCTATCTGACAGATATTGACGTCTTAAGTTTAATGGAGGGTCACAACATTCTATTTGCAGAGCATTAACCGGGCTTGATTTCATGGCACCAGAAACAATCCTCAAAGCCCTAGACTGTATGAGGTCTAGTTTTCTAAAGCCAGCTACATTACCTGGATCTAAGAAAAAGGTCCCAAAATCCAGTACACTTCTAATTACAGCATTATACACCAACCTCAGTGTGGCCGGGTGAGCACCCCACCAAATTCCACTGAGACATCTCAGCATGTTCAAGTGTCGCTCACATTTACCAACTACAAATTCGCAGTGTGGTTGACCTGTTAGTTTAGAATCAAGTATAACTCCTAAGAACTTTACTTGATTATAAACGGGTAATATATGACGATCATATGTTATAGTAGGTGAGGGAGGAGTTCGGGATTTAGTGAAAAGTACAACGGAACTTTTTGAGGGAGACAGATCTAGGCCATTTGCATCCATCCAGGATTTTAGCAAAGATAAAGAGGAGGAGACATGTTGTTCAGCAATACTTACCCACATATCAGAGGCATAAATAACTAAGTCATCGGCATATTGTAATAAACTAACTGAATCTCCGATTGAATCTTCTAGGTCATATGTATAAATATTGTACAATAAAGGGCTCAGAACAGACCCTTGTGGCAAGCCCCTCCATACCAGCCTACTAGGCATATAAGGGCCGCCAACATCTAAAATAATTTTCCTCTCCGAAAGAAGATTTACAATGAAATCAGTTAAAAAATAAGGAACCTTTAATTTATTTAATTTACTTTTTAGAATATGTAACAAAACGTTATCATAAGCCGAATTAATATCCAAGAAAGCAGCGACTACTGACTTTTTATCTGTGAAAGCATTACGAATGTCCGTAACTAATATGCCTAAATTGTCACATACACTTTTACCTTTTCGAAATCCAAACTGAGTTGGGGACAGATATTCGTTATTTTCTATGTACCATTCAAGCCGATTTTTAATTAAATGTTCAACAACTTTTGTTATCACCGATGACAAGACAATCGGACGATATGATTTAATATCAGATTGTACCTTAGACGGTTTTAAAAATGGCAGCACTATTTGACTTCGCCAAGATGGCGGTATGTCATTTGTCAATAGAACTTTATTTATTAAATTTAAAAAGAAATTTAATCCATTTTCACCAAGGTGAGACAGAAATGAATATGGGATCCCATCTTCCCCAGGTGCACTGTCTTTGACGTAATTTAATACACCTTTTAATTCCACTAACGTGAAAGGTAGATTTAGAGAGGAAGGGGCGGCATCAGAGTTATTTTGTTTAGAAGAGTGGATAAAATCTCTAAGTGGAGCAGAAGGAGGAGCCAAGCGATCAAGGAATTGATCAGCTAACTCTATAGGAAGTAACGACGTGTTAGAAGGATTGACAGCTGACCTAAATCTTTTGATATTTCGCCAAATGACAGTTGCATGTGTTCCAGGTGATAAGGTGCTACAATATTTCCTCCACCCCTCAGATTTCTTTTTTTAAATAGCTTTTTAACTTCTTTCATCACAGTCATTAAGGTCTCGTAGTTTTCCATAGACATATCATTGCGATAATTATGCTCAGCTGCCTTGCGTTTTTTAATACTTGTGGTACATTCTTCATCCCACCATGGTGGAGATGGCAACTTATTACTAGGCGGCTTTTCTTTGGAAAAACATTATCAGCCGATTCTAATAAAACAGTTTTGAAATAATTACTATCTGTGACATTAATTTCTGAGCAACTATTAATTTTCTCTTCTACTAATAAAGTGTATTGACTCCATTTAGAGTCGATGATTTTGTGTTTGAGGCGAGAGTTATGAATAAACATGTTACTATTTTTTTTACAGGGAAATGAAATGATTATTGGATAATGATCACTATTGTAAGATGAACACAAAGTAGACCAAGATAGAGAAGATGCTAAATTGGGAGTACAAATGGACAGGTCAATGGCACTAATTGCTTCACCAGGTTTTGTGAGGCGAGTAGGAGAACCTGAGTTTAAAATGCACAGGTTATACATGTCTAAGATATCCAATAATGCATACCCATAACTATTAGAAACCGAGCTACCCCAAGATGTGTGATGAGAGTTGAAATCACCCAGAATCATGAAAGGCTGAGGAAGCACTGAAATTAAGTTTTTAATTTCATTGAAAATTTGCAAGGAGGGGTGAGGGACATAGATAGAGACAAAACAGATATCATCAACAATAGCTGCAATGATAGAAAAGCTGTCACTATGTGAAGGAAGAGGGAAGGAAGAAAAGGTGCTAGAGTTTCTGATGAGCAGGCATACACCACCATACCCATCAGCCCTGTCTTCTCTTAAGCATAAATAACCAGGGATTTTAAATACATGATCTGGCTTTAACCAGGTTTCAGATAGAGAAAAAATAAAAGGATTAAAAGTATTTATAATATGTATAATTTCATGTTTTTTGTTTATTATACTGCGGCAGTTCCATTGAAGTAGCCTGTCCATGTTGGCCATTATTAATATTAGTGTATGTATGAATTAAATTAGCAGCGTGGGACGGTATAGATAAATTGGGTTGTGAAAGTAATTTGATTAGTGTAGTAATTAGCTCTGCTATTGTCTGTGAGTTTACATTAGAGGATGATGGATATGCACAACCATTAGATGGCTCTGGCATATTATAGTCTCTTACAAGAGACTCATGTGCAACATGATCGTAACCTTTACTTTGTTGAGGAGGGGTTCTAGGTTTAGTAAAAACAGTTTTTTTGTAAGATAGTGTACGTGGAGGTGGTGAACCAGGCAATACTGTATTTCCCCAGGAAGAGATTGAGTTGGGATAGAGGATACTATATCTGCAAATGACTTAGATATGGGGGGATGTAGTTTTGATGCTTCAACATAAGACAAGCTATTCTCTGCCATTGATAGTTTAATGTTGGTTTGTCTCACATACTCTGGGCACTTTTTGCTTGAAGCAAAGTGCAGCCCAGAGCATGAGCAGCAAGAACCAAGGTCTTCCTCCACATTACAAGTATTTCCAGTGTGGCCCTGACCACACTTGTAACACCTAGGCTTTGACCTGCATTGGACCTTAGTGTGCCCAAAGCGGCAGCAATTAAAACATTGAATAGTCGGATATATATATAAATTAACGGGCATAGAGTTGTAACACATAAATACACGTTTAGGCAAAACTTGTCCATCAAATGTAAACACAACTGTTTGCGAAGGTTTCCATGTAGGTGTGTTGTTTACCATGACTTTATAGTTAAGTCGCCTAAGTTTCAAAATTTCTCCACACCCAATGGGTACGTTAGTGTTCTCCATAATATCCTCAGGAGACCACTCAGTTGGGACTCCCTTAACTAAACCCATCCTTGTAATATTAAAAGTTG